TGAAAACTACATGAAAGCAAGCCCCGTTCATGTGCAGATGCTCTGGAGGCCACCAGGGTGGATAAAAACCAATGATTTAAAAAAAAAAATTAAAAAAATGATTTTTTAAAAATTTAAATCGAATTTTTTTTAATTTAAATCGATTTTTTTTTAATTTTTATTAAATTTATTTTAATAAAATGCTTTTGGAATAAAAATCTATCTAAAGATAGTTTTCTATTTAAGATACATTAATCATTTAGTTTATTCAGCATGAAATGGAGCTTAGTTATGTAGCATGAGGCTGTATATTCTGCAGTATTGGGACTGTCGGTGAGGCAACAGCAGGCCAGAGGAGGAGCCACTGCAGGACAGAGATGACAGTTGCTCTTTAAAAATTATGATTTAAATCGAGTTGATTTAAATCAAGCCTTTTTACTAGTGATTTAAATCATGATATAAATCGTGATTTAAATCAAATCCACCCTGGAGGCCACGCAAGAGCCCACCCCATTCTTGGCCATGCTTGCAAGAATAGTTGTTGGGTGTTGGTAAGTGATGGCATGTGATGCATGTATCGTAGGTTTGCAATCAATGACTAAGGAGAATGATAGTATGACATTTATGGTTAGACTACTATGTTTTTTTTCAACAATATACAGTACAGCTGGAAAAAATAGTTATACTTTCCTGTTGGGAAGTAGAACTGCATCATAGGATCAAAAGAGATCCTAAACAGCTGGTAGGGGAATGCTGTTACACAGAACCGGTCTATAATTTATCACATGCAGATGTTTGGAGAGAGACCATCTCAGCACCACCCCCATAAATCCTTACACCACACCTGAAGAAGAAATACCCAAGGGGCATATTCCTTCAATTCAGCAAAAATCGTATGGGAAATGCTTGATTATCCCTTAACTTGATTATGGTTGAATGTTGGCATTTATAAATTCCTACAACTACATACTGGACATTAAAATATAGGAAGCCCATTAACCAGCAGAACCAGCTGCCTTATAAGAAACAGATCTCATCAAGATAGAAGAAATGTTTGTTAAAGTTTAACTTGCCTGTGTAAAAAAAAAATATGTTAAAAACCCTGAAGGTAACAGGGCTTTTTATATTTCTGAATTCCAGTAAATTAAGTTTGCAGACCTTGGCTCAGGAACAGGAATAGGTTTTCAGGGAAAACCAAGAGCTTGAACATTTTTAAGCACTTAAAATACATCGAAAAAACTGTCACAAACTAAAGTGCTTTTTTAAATGAATAAAAGGATTGGAATCCTTGATGAACAGCTGCAGAGGAAGATTATTCAAACTCAGTAAGGGTCCCCCAACTTTTCTTCCTTTCATTAAAAAACAAACTCAGGCAGAACCCTCTTAGAGTGTGTGTATGCACAGTTGTTACTTTTGACAAACTCTTCACCAAATGTCCTCTGTTCATTCTAAAGTAACTGATGAAACTGCTCAGTGGGATTGGGGGTAGAAAGGAAATTATACATTTTCCTAATTTTCTTCACAGTGATCAGGAATGCTGCTAGTAAAGTGCTTGTCTCTATTTGAAATAGGTAAATTGCAAATACAGTCTGTTCATACTGGATTAGATTGAGAAAGACTTCATTAGAGGGAACAACTGTTGTATTTCATATGTTCAATTTCCTGCTGCAAACCTTTCTTCCCCATTGTATAAATATATTTAGATAATTTAGAGTCTTGGTCACCTGCTTTTCCTGCACAACTGCTTACAAGACTATTACTATAACAACAACAACAACAACAACAACAACAACAACAACAACAACAATAATAATAATAATAAACTATTGATGAAAATGCAGAAAATGCACTTTGAGCATGGTGTTTTTTCTAATGTCATGCTCATAGTAAAGACTGACGGAAGCAGTAAAAGGATGACGTGCTCTTCTCCCTTGCAGAATTTCTGAGCAACTCTTGCATTAGTTCTTCCTAATGATGTAATTCTAACCATAAAATAGCAAAGTTCAGCAGACTAGCAGTTCATTTCGCAGCTCTTGAACTGACGAGAATGTTGGTATCTACCATAGAGGAACTCAAGACATCACCATAACAATATTGCCTCAAACTCATCCTGGGATAAAGTGTGATGAATCGAAGAAACTGTACAGTTGTTTCTATCAATCATAAGCATAAGGATTGTCATCATGGCAACAAATCCAACCTACAAAAAGTGGTAGGAATAAATCCAGCCTGGCTTCTTCATTCATAGTGTCTCTTGCTCCAATTCTATTCTCAGCACTTTCCAAAAACTGGACAATTTGGATAGATAATGCTATGTAGCATAGTAGCTCAGGATCCATTCATTTGCAACAGAATGTTCATGTGCTGCTAATTCACAGGCAGTGGTTTTCACAGCAGTTATTTGCAAAGTGCAGACTGAGTCAAAAGAAGAGTGTCAAATAATATAATGCTGAATGTATCAATCAAACCCCTGGTTCTCCACCAAGTACAGTTTGCTTATGTATTGATTCTCACAGCAGTGTTATGACTAGGGGCACAGCAGGGCCTTAAAGTAGGATAAAATGACACATGAACTTTGATCACAGCTGGATTAGGACAAGAGCAGAACAAAAATAAAGGCAGATTCCAATAATATTATCCGAAAGTTTTTTTTTTAAGCAGTCAGTCTACTAAAAAAATAAAACATTTTAGGAAAAGGGTAGATTAACAATTTTAAGACTTCTCAAAGCTTTAGAGCCAGTTCCTTTCTGTTCTATTAAAAAAACAGTATGCAATAGTGGCAAATATCTAGCTCGGGTGTAGGATGAGGGTGAAAGTTCATTCTCTGAGCTTGTGGGTTGGTTTCCAAATGTTTTGTTACCAGGCTAGGTAACATCTTCAGCACAGTTTAGAGGATGTTGGTGTCAGTGTTCTTCTGTATATAAGAGTTTCAGGTGTGGTCAATAGGTCTTGTGATGGTGAGGTCCAGCATGTGAATATATCCATAAAAAGGGACAAAGTGACTATTTTTCTCACGTCAGACTAGGATCTACTGTATGCAAGCCTGACTTGGGGTGGGGGGACCTGCAATCTACTTTCAGTTCCTGAAAAGAGCAGATTAAGATCACAATCCTATATGCATTTACCTGGGAAGAAAATCTTATTTAACAAATATTACTATGATTGCACTATATAGAGAAAATGGGACTTTAATACCAGGAGAAATACTATGGGTACCAAGTTACACATCTGCATTCCAGGAGATGCATGCAAATCTGGAAAACTAAACTAGAATTTGGACTAAAAGCAAAACTTTACATCTAAAGAGCAATATCCTAAGGGATGAAATGTTTCCTATTTTGTCATTAAATGTTCACAATAAAATAATCCGCTGAGCTAATATTTGGTTCAGATGTCCCAAATAATATCCAACTATCAAAAAATGACTGCCAATTAAAGAAATAGAAACATGTTCTAAGAGGTTTAGCCAGCTAAGGCAAATAACAATGAGAAATAATATGAAGGACAGCATTTATATTGTATGTGACATGGGAAAAGGGGGTGGGGGGGTTGATTTTCAAAACAAAGATAAATCTTTGGGGAAAATTCTGAGAACACATTTAAAAATTGTGATTTTACAGCAGTGACAGACATATTTAAAATATTCAACTTTAAAAACAGGATAAGTCAATGCTACTGAATTACAAATGTTTTTGAAAGCAAGATGAGTTAAGTTAGTTATAATGGCAAATGCGCCACCTATCAGCTACTCCAAGACATTACAGTTTTATAGCAGCCAGAGGTCAAGACACTTACATATCAAGGTCAATACAAAGCAGACATTTCTAATACTTTGAGTTGAACCAAGTCAACCTTACTAGGAAAAAAAACTAGGGAGAAAAATTCTATACAATAAGACATTTTTTGCTGCAAGGAGCAAAAATGGAGCCTGTTTAAAAATAAGGAAAAACATGCCAAAAACTAAAAATGAGTTGTGTTGCAATCTTTATTAATATCTGTAGTACATCTTACTAGAAGCAATAGATAACTGTTGAAAATATAAATTGTTAGCTCTGAAAGACCGTTGGATTCTTGCACATCAGTGATGGTCTCTAGGAAGGAAGTAGCACTTACAAGTGCCCTTATTTTCCAAGTTTGCTTTCAGAGATATCAACAGTTGATGAATTGTTTGTTAATGACTCAAAATGATTTTCAACTGCAAGACAGTTATAACATGTTTAAAGAAACAGTTGTGCCCCTCTCCATATATAGGAGCTGAATCAGCAAAACTACAATTTACCACACTACACCAGGTATGTATGTATGTATGTATGTATGTATGTATGTATGTATGTATGTATGTATGTATTTCTCTTTAGCCAGGTTCTTCCTACGTAAACCAAGATTTTTATTCAGCCCTAGTTCAGTGAAATCACAATCCACTAGTTTCTAGGCTTTTTTCAGGCAGCCAGCAAGCACCCTGCTGCCCATTGGGAGACTAAGGAGACTATATATATGCACACCATCATGGGCATGTGATTTTAATATTTGGATGCCAACTTCTTTTTTGGAAGCAAAATCTATATAGAGATCCAACGCATGTATAAAGAAGCCTGAAGCCTATAACTAGGTGTACCTCTCTTTTAAGTTATTAAACTGGGATGAAGCCTACAGTATCTCACCATCTAAACATATTCATAAGGACAGCAGGAAAGGGAAGCAACCCCACAACACGGATAAACCGGTATGTGACTCGCACCTCAAGGTAACAATTGCAAAGCAAACAAGTTCGACATTTGGAGTTGAACAAGCAAAAAGTTGCATAGGCAGACTTGGGAGGAGGTCCATTAAGAAGTTATTTATATATGCTGTTTATGTTTAAAGTTTTCAACACTTTTGCTTTGTAAAAGGAATTAGCTTGGAAGGCTGTCTGAACAGCCCTGGGATTGAACAACATTGCTACCTTTCAAGTACAAACAGAAAAGTCAATCAAACTGTAAATCAGTTGCAAGGCCAAATAGAAGTAACGTATCACAACTCACCGGAAATCATGTGCAAATCAGATGCCATCCCCTTGCTTATCAGTTCATACTGGAAGCCTGTAATCTTCCTACTAATGTCCTGCTGAGGGGTAGCCTCAACAAAAAGCCCACCTTGGTCAAAGTTGAAGCAATACACTCTGGTAGGTCTGTGATCTCCCTCTTGGACCAGTAGTTTTAGTTCTCCAGTTTTTTCCAAATAAATATTTGCTCCTGCAGAGTTCTTATAAGGTTTTATGCAAACAGTCCAATGTTTGGAAGAGGAAGAGATAATATTGGGTCGCAGATTGACGATCAATGCTCCGGTGGGATACATCCATTCTATGGTTCCTTCAGAACAACGGAGGTAGACTTGTTCAACATCTTTTCTGTGGGACTCATGAGTTAATCCACTAGGAAAAGAAGAAAGATAGAGACATTATAATGAAAGTGCCTTGATTTATTCTACAAGAATATTTGATGCACTCAGACAAAAGACTTCGAAAGACTTGAAAGACGATTGTGGAAAACTACAATGAAATAATGGTGTCAGGATTTTTTAAAGGTTTAGAAAAGCTTCCAATTCTCTTAAGTTGTATTGGCACTTGCCTCAAATAGCCAAATTAATCAAGTCTGCTAACATCAAGTCCATTCCAAACCATGGAGTAAGGTTCAAATTAAGTCCTTCCATAAAATAAATTAAGCAACAAGACCAAACTGTTTATGAGAAAAATGAATTAGACACAACTTTCAGCCTCAAGCCCAACTCTATGTGACAATCCTACCAACCGACATGATAAATGCATTTATGTACCATAACCAGACATTAGATTTCCAATACATTACATAAAAAAGTGAACAAAGAAAATTTAATAATATAAATGTTAATGTTAATCTTCTGCAGAAATTAGCTGTGGGAGATATGATTTGGAGTGTGGGGAGAAAACAAGGGACAACTTACAATTCTTATTTAAAATAAAATGCTTGCCATACTGGAGATGCAACAAAATTCGGAGGTTTCATGAGAAAACACCAAGAAACTTAGATTTTAATCATTAGCATCATCATAACATCATTTTATTGGCTGCAAACTAAGTCATGTCAAGAGCTGACAGATTATGGGAGAAGGAGCTAGTTCTTGATCTTCATGCTTCTCACCAATTTCAGAAATGTAACTCTCAGTGGAACAATTGGGATATTGCCAGTTTTAAGTCTTAAAAAAAGTGGTGATCTGTTGGTGTGTATGGTTACAGATTACAAGAATACTCTTCTCAAAATGTCGATGCATTATTGTGACAGCAAGTTAAACCCAGAACTGAATCAAGACCACTTCTCAAGGCACCAACTGCTGATCCTACCTATTCTGGGTTCCTGATCACCTCCATTTATCAAATGAGGATTATAATTCAACCAAGCGTACAGGACTGTTGCATGGCTGAATGTAGCCAGAATAGAACAGTTATAGTACAAGAGCTACAGTATTTATATAAAGTCCTACTTGAAAGTGTGAATTTGCCATTTCTTCACAATAAAGTCAATGCTATTGGCTCGGAAGCACACTGTTAGTTCCAAAATACAAAAAGCTTTCCAGTGCAAAAAAACTGATTCCTGAAACTCATTAAACCACATACAATGTATATTTATATACCTATATCAATGGCCTTAGTGTAATTTCCCGAGTGGAAGAAGTTCCGACTTCAAAATACCATGGATTATTTGAAACTTCTCCAATGCCAAAATGTGACCTTTCAGTTTGAAAGAAAAGCAAGACAGTATTCATGCTTTGAACTTTTTAGCAATAAGTGACTCTGGAACTAAGCACAAACACAGGTCTGCAAGCTTTTCTTGTGACTAAAAGGAAAGAGGGTGCACTGTTTTCATTGAAGCTAATGATATCAAAGAAACCATAAAGGAATGAAGCAGAATTAAAAAGACAAGCAAGTCAGGATACAAATCCACCAAGTTCCTACTGAATAGATGATTCACAATACTGAATGCATTTCAAAACAACTTGAGTTGACTTGGCTAAAAGCTCATGACCTAGTTAAAACTGTCAAGAGTTGGGGGGAGATGGGGAGATGGCTTGAAAGATTTGGTGGAGGCAGAAAACATCTGCCTAGACAGAGGTTAGATGATTCATTATCAGAAGGTGTTAAAAGGTCTGATGGACTAACAAATCTTTCCTTTCCGGATAAATATGGTGATATCAAATGTCTGAACTAAGAACAAAGCCACTTCTCTAATCTACATTTATATATAGTCAGTTCCAGGACCAATTGCCAAATCATCTCATGTTCCTGTTATCTACTGTATGTAAAGGGTTATTCAATGTATTAAACCAAGCAAGTTAACTGCCCATGTTTTGAAGCAAACCTGCATTCACTTTCATTATAAATATAAAATGATGTTGGTTTGATTTCAAGGCAAGGATAAATGGCCAAAGCTCTTACACAAACAAGACAACCAAAATTCATAATTTACTTCCGTCCCATTTGCTGGCATTTGCTGGTAGAAGACTATTACATCCATGCAGTATTTTAGTTTTACCTACTCATGACCGTAAGGCCATATAATTCAGTTTAAGGCAGTTAGCCTTAATGGAAAAACTTCAGAATTACCCAATCCCACCCACAGACAAGAAATTGCCTTGTTTACTTCCAAACCAAACCGAGATACGCCAACAATATTCATTCTTACAAAGTGAAACATGCATTGACAGCTACAGTAGTTATGAATATATATAAAACTGTGGTTCCCCTTTTTGTTCAGAACAATGTTATTTATAACTACTAATGGGAACTTCAGGCATTTCTAAGACCAACCTGCTACGGGAACAGCTTGACAACTTAGAAAAAAACAGGGTTTTGGGTTTTTTTTTAGGAAGAACTTACATTAAGTGGAAGGCCTGGCATTTACACCTCTGTTATCATTGAAATCTTTAACTTTGAAGGCCGGATACCACAGATTAGTGGCTGCTTGTACTTTAGACCTCATCTGCTGCCACAGTAACAAATATAACTTCTAAGGTTACACAGCCAGAAAGAATAGGCTGTAATCCTGCATACAACAATGGGATAATCACTGCATAAAAACCTTTAGAGAAAAAGTGCCAGAATTTTGAAGATGGGCAATTAGGGCTAGACAAAAAGCCTTCAGAATTCTGAGTTGTTTATGCTGGCGAGGGGATACTGAGAACTGTAGCCCAACGCATCTGCAGGGTACACAGCTATCCTAGGATATGAGAAGCTCAACTGCTCCAAACTTTTAAAAAAGACTAATTTTAAAAGCTAATAGTTCTTAAGAATTCTCACGTGCACATTAATGCCTATTTATTCATCACCAGTGTCAACAGATTCTAAGCAGAGACCACCAGCTCATGTTAGGCAGAAGAAAGGAAAGCTATTTTGGAAAGGAAAGCAGCATCCAGTAACACTGTCAGAAGCTTCTACTTCTCTTGAAGTAAAATGACAAGTCCCTCTCACCACTGGCCCTGCTGAACTTGCCTTTCCAGAAGGCCAAGCTGAATTTGTGACCTATATATCCCTTCATATTCATTAGTTCATTCTTTTTTTATATTATTCATAATAGCAGCTTACTGGATTTTAATGAAGGCAGTCTTGACAACCTAAAGTTGGGTGGATTTGAAGTCCACACATCTTCAAAACGCCAAGGTTGAAAAACACTGGATTAAGGACATACCAGCAGTACTTCAGGGGAAGAAAAGTGTTTTTGAGAAAGGGGAGAAAACACACACAGCACTTGCTGGAACTAAACCAAACATTTTCCCCCCCAGAATCACTGTAAATGGCAGCTGTGTGATATTAAGAAAAACACAACTACTTTAAGGAACTGCTGAGAGGGGCTGGATGAACACCTCCATGAATACTGAAGCCCCTTTGAGCCTTCAATACTAAAGTATTGCAAGGCACTATTATATAGTCCAACATCCTCCCTTGCACTGGTGGCCAACAAAAAGCTTACTCAAAGCCCATGAGTAAGATACGAAGGCAACAGTCATTTCCTACTGTTGCTTCTTACTGACTAGAACTCAGAAGCATATGCCTATTGCTGGACATTATGCATCTTAATACATTTAGGAAGATAAGAGTTAGCCCTAAGGAAAAACTTCCATACAGCCAAATGTATTGACAGGCAGGAATTCCAAGCAAGGTTCCAGATAGGACTTTGCTAGTCCTACCTGAAGGTGCCTGAGATGGAACTTAAAACCATGAAACTTTGGCTCTCTCTTATAATACTCTGCTGGCCAGAGCAGTCTGACTTATACCACAGCCACCTGTTTGGTCAATTCCATCTATTTTTCAGACATCTGATGTTTTCTTGTGCAATTGCAAGTGTCAGCAAGCATGCGTCATTCCCCGAAACTAAAATATTTAATGACAGATTGAGGAGGGGGGAAGTATTGGGTAAGCCAATAACAGGGAAGTGAGTCATGCTGCTCACACACATCCCTTGTGGCTGGCATTCAGGACACTGACAAGCCCAGAAGAGAGACTTCATTCATCAGTAGAGTAATATATTAATGGTTTAGTGTTGCAGCTGAGAGACAGATATAAATCGGGAATACTGCCTCTGTCTTTTATTTTATGAAGTGAGTTAAAGCAAGTCATGCTCTTTAGGTTGCTCCTCCCCCAAATAATATTTCCATTTCATTTATGGAAATATGGTTGCCACTAATTTTAGGAAGAGATAAGCCAAACAACAATATGACCTTACCCCCACACAATCTCCTTTTAATAATCACACCCAAATCAATTGTGGTATTTTTAAAAGAGATCTTGGGAGAAATCTACAAGCCAATGTCCATTTTCAAAAAAGGGGCACATATGTGATCAAATTCATGCATACACATTTATGAACTTCAATTAAAAGGAAAATCAGGCATGAAAGACATTGTTCATTCAATACATGAACAAACAGAAGATGGTTCCAAGAATTTTTGGTCTGGAATATCTTTGGTCTAATAAGGACACTGAGACACAATGTCTTTAACATACTTTCAACATCTATAATTATAGATATACAAAATAAGTTCAAGTAAACTTGTGAATCATAAGAAGTATAGATTCTTGATTCAGTGGCCACAGCAATTTCTGGGTAGGAGTCCACAACTAATTTCGAGCAATAAATCATACTGGTGTTGAGAGAAGTTGGTTCTACCGTGATTACAACTCTGCTGCCTAAGAATTGTTTGCTTTGTTACACAAAGCAATTGTAGCAAATCATACCAACAGGAATGTGGCAGCAAAACTTTAGATGGTTCCCTATATTAGCTGAACTTCGTTTTAGGTCCAGGTCTTGTAAAGTTATCTGATGACATTCAACAAGTTTTCCATGCCACTATTTTCAGGGACTTATCTTTCTAGATAATGGAATTATTTTGCTACACGGCATGTGACAATTCTTAACAGGTGAGATAATCTGTGATAGCTAGAGGTCAACCTTTCTCCAAAGGATTTCCAAAAAGGATTCTCTCTTCCATAAAACAAAGCAAAAAAAACACACACACCCCTCTGAAAAATCTGACTCCCACCATTTAAGCCTGGGGCTACTGCCCTGATATTGCCTCCAGTTTCCATTCATTTAAACTTTCCAGTTTGCATAAATTCGAAGAAATCATTCACTGTCCTTCTACTTGTTTAAAAATAAATTGCTTTGTAAACTTTAGATACAGGTTGCAGATGCACATCACTTAGCCATGGATTAATGACTAAATGAAAGCCTTTTCAGCTCTACAGAAGATTTCTGAAAACCATAGAACAGATTTAAAGTACAGATAGCCCTTAACTTATGACCACAATTGAGCCCAACATTTATGTTGCTAAGCGAGACATTTGAGTTTGCCCCATTTTACGACTTTCCTTGCCAGATTTGATTGTTATGTGAATCTGGCTACCCCATTGACTTCTGCTTGTCAGAAGGTCGCAAAAGGGGATCACATAACCCCAGGATACTGCAACGGTCATAACTATAAGCCAATTGCCAAGCATCTGAATTTTGATCACCTGTCAGTAGGGATGCTGCTATGGTTAAGTGTGAAAAACAGTCATAAGTCTTGTTGTAACTGAACATTCATTAAACGAGTTGAGGACCACCTGTATTACTGAAGAGGTGGGGGGGCGGGAAGAGTCAGACACAAGAGAGAAAAATGTAGAGGCCAAGGAGTTTTAAAGATTTCACAAGCATGAGGATTAACATAGCTGTGGCAAACTAAGGAATTATGGCCAAGAGCTTTCTGTTAGCAATCCTGATTAAAATCTAAAGTAGCAGCGGTGACGTTATGCCACAGGTGTAAGAGAGACAGAGGCTCAGCTCAGAACATTTAGGAGATGTTAGTTGTTATACAATATAGCAGGTGAACTCCAAAGGAACTCAGGAGAACGTTAACCACCCTCTCTCTGGAGACCTCCTTGCCCACGCATAGGCATGCCAGTTTTACGGTTTCCAGGGAACAACTTCAAAACGTATACAGCAAACGTCCAGGTTTCCAATCTTAATAAACAATCTCCCCACCCCCAGTAAACCCAAAAACCCAACTTCAGTAATCCCAAGGCGTTTTGAGGAAATAAACAAGCCCGGCGCTAATTCAGGTATTAATGAAAAAGGCAGGTCTATTGGGGTTTATTTCCTCTTTCCTCCCCCCCCCAAATAGCTAAACGCTGCCAAAAGAGAGAGAGCGAGGGAGCGTCACAAGTTTGATAAGGGCCAAACAATCTTTACACATTCGCAAACACGCAGATTATAAACCCTTATCCGTTCCCCCCCCCCCCATCTCTAGGGCGGCTGAGAAAAAGCCTACCCGAGTTACGCTGAAGTTAGTACAAAAAGAAGTTAGGAGGAGGTCACCAAGTTTAAAGTGTGTTATTCTGGTGTTGAGTTGCACAGATGTGGAAGGGTGCTGCGGTGGTCAGGAGAGAAACTTTACCTTTGTCTGTTGAGCGCTCTCCGGCTTCCTCCCACCCCCCTTCGCTCGTTGCTTTGGCAATATACTCATCCTGAACACTCCTGGAATGTTAATCAAACTGTCCCTCTCCTTCTTCCTTCCAATAAATCAGAGCAAACAGCCGAAGGGTAGAAGAAGAAGAAGAAGAAAAAAAAGGATTTCTTTTATCCCCCCTTGCAAACAATCAAATCCATGTGTCCCGGAGCTTCTGGAGCTAGCAAGCCCACACGGAACTATGCGCCCCCCTCCTGCCTTCCCTTTCCGAACGAAACTTCTCCGAAGAGCGGTTTCGACGACGGCTAAGATTCAACACACAAACACACACACACGCTAAATCCCAAACACGCACACCCGGCAGTTCTGGGATGAAGTGGGGGAGCGGGAGTGGGGGAGGAAGAGAACCAGCCCTCCTGGATCCAAGATTCCCAAGCCTGGCATTCGTTTCGCTGTGAACCCCACTCAAACTCTCACGATCGCAACAGAAGGGGGAAAAGGCTTTAAGGGGGGGAAAAAAAGAAAGAAAAACGACCCTCCACAAAGTAGGGTTTCATCTCTCATCCAGCCCCCCCCCACCTCCATAAGAGGAAGGAAAGATCCCCAAAGGGTCCTCGCTCTCTTTAAAAGCAGCGTTAATCGCCTCCGATTTAGCAACGCCAACCCAGAGAGAATCGGATCGAGCAAGGGAGTGTGGGGAGGTGTCCTGAAGTCTAGATTCCTCAGGAGCGCACCTTGGGAAGCAAGATCCCAGGAACGGGGATATGCCCGGACAAAGACCCAACCTTTGGAAACACACCTTACAGAGGTGGCAACTCCTCCAAACCTCACGCAGCCCCTCGCCCGGCGAGCTTCTTACCTTCCTCTCCAACTGCACAAGTCGCTCGAGTATTGCGCCGTGCAGCCCCTGTCCAGTACCAAAAAGCCCAGCAGCAGCAACAGAGGTGACGGCGGCGGGAGCAGCAGCCCGGGCGCCGGGGCTCTCCGCATGATCCCCGCCGGGCTACCCTAGAAAGGATCCAGCAGAGGAGGGAAAAGAGGAGAGCTCCCGTAGCCTGCGCTTACATGGCGAGAGCAAACCGGAGCCGGAGCAAACCGCTAACACGAGCCCATCCCCGCCGTCCGGCCACTCGGCTCAACAGTGCCCTCGTTCTCCTAGCCGGCGCTCGCTCCGCGTCCCAAGCTTAGTGGAGGGCGGGGAGCCGCTGCGCCTCGGAAACCACCCACTCCAGAGACCGCGGCTAAAACCGGCAATGGATTTCTTTTTTTTTACGGAGCGGATTCCGCGCCCTCCTGGCCTCCTTAACTTTGCTTTTCTAACTAAACCCGAAAAAAGTTCTTTCTGTTTTCAGAGTGACGGCAGCCAGTTGAATACAACTACCGACGGCTTTCCTTATGGGGGAACTTCGCAGGCCCTCTATAGCGAATTTTAAACGTTCACTGCTCCTGTTTTGGGTGTTTAAGAAAGAGGAAGCTAAGAACATTGGAACTTCTGCTAGGAGTGTTTCTCGTTTTTTTAAAAAAATCGCACGTTGTTTAAAATAATAAAATTCAAGGCAGTCTATGATGTGGGACGTGTGGAAGGGAGAAGCTTTGACATTTAAAAAAAAAAAATCGAGAAGCGACTGTGAAGAGGGGGAAATGCATGCTGAGGGGGAAATGCATGCCAACTCATACCTTCCCTTGGTACAAGTAGGGCAAGACTGAGGCCAAAATCCAGGCCTGCACATCACAAATGTCCAGACAGCAGACAAGGGTCAGGACTCAGAAGCAAAGAAGTCCATCCCAGACATACAAAAGCCCAGTAGGGTAACGCTAGTAATTAAAGCTTTAAAGATACTTCTCACTTTTAGTACTTCTACAGTAACTATACAGTATATAGAATGTACCAAACGTTAGGCCCCATAGACTGCTTGTTATATAAATGACATTAAGTATTTGAATTAGTTGCCACTTCCTTCCAAACATTTCCTTACTTGCTAACACGAGGCCTTTGAATATTTTTAACTACAGTAACATTTTCTCTGGAAAAAAAGTTAATAAATATATTATTATGATTGGCATATGGGGACAGAGGATTTGATATATCCCTCATATTCTCCTTTTTAGAAAAAAATGATTTGTTGTACCCTAGCGAATGTTTTAAGCATGAAGGCCACTGCAGAGTAAACTCTCTTATATCCCTGAAGACCTGATGGTGCCAAGGTTAAATAAGTATAAAAAATGAAATTGCTCAATGCCTTTCAACTTTTTAAAAAAGGGTTGTATATAGAAGCAGTTGTAATGCTGAGGAGACTCCCAGGCAGGGGTCCAGATCCAATTACAGGTAGCCCTTGACTAACTACAGTTCATTTAGTAACTGTTTGAAGTTACAACAGCACTGAAAAAAGTGACAAACCTGTTTTTTACACTTACAACCATTACAAACTGACAGGCTGAAGATTGACTCAGCCTTCCATCTTTCCCAGATTGTTGGGGGCATTAATGCTGACACTGTAAACCGCTTCAGAGAATGCTGTAAAGTACTATGGAATAGTATATAAATATAAGTGCTATTGCAGCAATGGTGGGTTGCTTCCAGTTCAGTCCGGTTCTTGCGAACTGGTAGTAACGGCGGCAGGAGGCTCCGTCCACCTGCCCTGACGTCATCATGAATGATCTGCACGTGTGCAGAAGCTCCCATTGTGAACCAGTAGCGGAGGTAAGTGGAACCCACCCCTGTATTGCAACATCCCCATGGTCATGGGTTCAAAATTGAGGTACTTGTCAAATGACTCAGATTTATGTCCTGGGGTCATGTGATCATCTTTGCTTCTGACAAGCAAAGTCAATGGGGAAGCCAGATTCACTTAATTAACTGCAGTGATTCACTTAACAACTATGGCAAAAAAAGGTTGTAAAATTGGACAAAATTCATTTAACAGCTGTCTCGCTTAGCAATAGAAATTTTGGGCTCAGTTGTGGTCTTAAGTCGAGAACTACCTGCATTAACTAAACTGATCCCTCTTGCAACATGTGATCAAATCCCAGTGGAGGGTTGCTTCCACTGTTCTGTGGCGCTGCAAAGTTTGGGAGGCCTTAGATGTTCACTGGGGGAGAGGGGGACAATTGATTCAGCGCATCTCTAAGCATTATATCTGGGCATCAGCATGCAGTTAAGGAGAAGTGGCTTGACAAGTTGCCACTCTGAAAAGCACCAGCACTTGAACACAAAACTGAGTGGGAAGAATGAAACTTTAGTGGAGAAAACAATGTCGTTTGTTGTGACATCATCGTGCAAATTATACTTATAAATTTGATAAATAAAACTATGTACTTGCCTTCGATTTTATAGCATGACTGATGTAAATCACTTAATGCATTGCTGAATGAGGCACATTTGATGACTGGCAGAGAAGTCTCAATTTACTGAACTTTACTCAGATTAAGATCTTCATTTTAAGAAACGCAACTCTGGATATCTCTCAGTATGCTCATGTATTACCCAGAAATGTCAGTTCATCAGATAAGATGTTCATTGGTAAATTGGTGAGAGGTTAGAATAAGCAGAATTGAATCTTCTGGCCTTTCTTCCAGCAAGTGTTATCCAATAGGGAAGGGAAGGCAGGTTCAATACCAGGGGTGAAATCCAGAAGGTTCTGACAGGTTCTGGAGAACCAGTCGTGGAAATTTTGAGTAGTTCGGAGAACCGGCAAATACCACCTCTGGCTGGCCCCAGAGTGGGGTGGAAATGGAGATTTTGCAGTATCCTTCCCCTGGAGTGGGGTGGGAATGGAGATTTTGCAGTATCCTTTCCCTGCCATACCCACCAAGCCACGCCCACAGAACCGGTAGTAAAAAAAAATTGGATTTCACCAAAGTTCAATACCATGTGGGAATCTGATGTTAGAATAAAACAGATCAGAATAATTGGTTTCCACTTGAAAGTACTATATTTCATTATAAGTATCATATTTACTTAGAAAGTACCTGCTAATTGCATCTATTTACTGTGCTTGCTAATTAAATCAACCACAAGTGGCTGGCCTCACTTTTTGTACTAACCTATACAGGTATCATAGTTCTTGCTTAATTTTCTTTTTTTTTAAATATTTTAATATTTTACTATAACACAATAAGACAAACACATGACATACAACTTATAAATATATCCTCTTTTTAACCAGTGTTAATTTTCATTCAGAATATTGTGTCATCCCAATCATTGCAATTCATAAACTCAGCTAATTCGACAAACTGTAGCTTCGCATGTGCTCATCAGTGAACAGATATTGATCTCTGCAGGAACAATTTATTAGTGGTAATCTGCAAAAAAATCTGATTCATCAAAGAGGCACATTCTATTTCAAGCTCAAACAGTAAACTCAATTTTTAATGAATAACAGGCAGGTACAGTTTCTGGGTCCATTTCGTCAAGGTCCACTTCTTCTGAATTATTTGTGAAGTGTATACAGCTTCTTCCTGGATATTTTTACTTATATTTCACTTATAATACATGTTTGTCCACACACCTATATAAACAGATTTCTGATGCAAGTTGAAATACAAGCCAGTTAAAGATCTGTTTCTGAACCTGGAGCAAGAAGACACTTAAAATAATGTTGATGCGGAATCTGAAATTATGCAGTTGTGACCATTTAAAATGTTAATTGTGCAATTAAATAGCATCAACAACATGCTATTTAAAGTTGGTCTTAATTTGTGCCTCAGTGCACCACACAAAAAACCTGATTGGCATTATTGTTTAATTATTGTTTAAAAGCATCCTGATGGATTCAACATAAATATGTATACTAAATAGGGGTTGGCATTGAATGGCAAAAGAAGATTTGGTGAAGTTGAACAAGTATGGCCAATTACACAATACCATTGTAAAGCTTAACTGGAGAAGGACAACGCTATTCTAACTTTTTTAACTGAACAGAGGTCTCAAAATACGTTAAAGGGAAGTGAGAACTACACATCCGTTTTTTAAGGACATTATATACAAAGGTTCTTTAGAGGTCTTTGGAAGGAAAGCTTATTCCTTCATTCGTGGAGCAATTGCTCACTAGGAAATGAAACCTGTTGCATATATTTAGAAATATAAACATTAATATTGCCATAATTAATATGTCTAAACTGTTGCTAGTGGATCAGATTGCATCAATTCTTAATAAGGTCACTGGAGGAGAAAGGACAAGATGTTTGAACTCTTTTTGTCCAGTTGGGGGAATGTTTAGGAGGAGATTGAGGAGATTCTTACATTATTTTTAACCTCTTTGGTAGTTTAAATTATCTATGTGTTTGCTTTTGTTTGCTACCAAACATCTAAGAGAAGCTGCATTTAATTCCCAGCATTGGCTGCCAATTTTCAACACTGTGATAGCAATAACATTTAAACTTATACTGTACATTGCTCTATAGTGCTTTACAACCCTCTCTAAGCAGTTAACATAGTTAGCATATTGCCCCCAACAATCTGGATCCTCATTTTACTGACCTCAGAAGGATGGAAGGCTGAGTCAACCTTGAGCTGGTCAGGATTAAACTCCTGGCAGTGGGCAGAGTTAGACTGCAATACTGCATTCTAACCATTCTAACCACAGTGCCACCATGGATGTTGGAAGGTATTGCAGAAACAAGACAAATGCTTGTAGGGGATGAAACTATTACTATCTATGTCACTGTGGCATGAATGCTGAACGGGTTTTTGTTTTAAAATCATACTAGATTGTTGAGAAAAGTGGGATTTAAATAACTGTAATAAAAGCAACAATAACAACAATTCAGACTATAAATCCCACACCTGGTGCTTTCAGTGACTTGCCAGCTGTGGATAATGAAGATTGTAGTCCAAGAAATATGGCAGGCACCACCTGAAAGAAGAGCTGAAGGAAAATCAAAGACTTATTACCACAATCCATAAATTCATATCTGAATTTAAATAAAGCAGTGCATGGCTTAGTATGTTTAAAATTAGAAATGTCACTCCCAAATAATATTTTCCAAGACGTGTCTTAAATTAGCTATTTCCAGGCAACTATGGAAGTCAAACTACTCAGTACTGTATCTTATTCTCATAGTACTGAAGTAGTAGTTGGGACTACAGGTAGTCCTCGACTTATGACTGCAATTGGGACCAGAATTTCTGTTGCTAAGCAAGGCAGTTGTTAAATGAGTCATGCCTAATTTTA